TAAAAACTAGTGCCTGAAGTGACCGTGTTTTGATCAGGTTAAGGTCAAGGTCGAAAGAAGTTTTGCAGCACCTTACGACGGGAGTGGCATGAATACATTCAGTCCAGGGTATCGTGAAGAACAGTGAATAGGAGACTGATCAAACAAGGTTGTTTTGTAAGAAGGGCTATCTGCAAACCGATATTAACCAGAATTCACCGCCGTCACCATGTTACTTGGGCAAGACAGCATGTAAACTTACAGTCAGGACACTGCCAACATGTAATTTTTTTCAGATAAGTAATTTTTCCGGCTTGTTAAAGGCGGTGGTAGGATTAGTGTTCGTCGTTTGCATGGAGAACAGATGAGGGAAGATTATTTTTCCCACAGGGAACACGCAGGAGGTAGTGCAGTACATGTTTGGATAGCCATTATTGTGGAAAAACAGCTCTTCATATCCTCCAGGGAAACGTCAATTGCGCCTTCTACTGGCATCACATGGGGACGATATTTCTGCTATATGCTAGAGCAAGGTTTGGCAATAACTTTGTGTTCCAGGATGACAATGTCACTGCCCACAGTGCACGTATTGTACAGGATTATTTCGACCAGGAAGACGTTACAAGATTGTCATAGCCAGCAAAGCCTCCAGATTGTAATTCCATTGAGAACTGTTGGGCAGAACTTGGGCCGGAAAACTGCTAACCACGACCCTAAAACAGCTACTGTTGCTGAGTTGCAGCGCCTTATATTGACAATTTGGGGTGAAATTACAGTGGAATACATCAATAACTTCATCGACAGCATGCCACGTCGCCTTGAGGAAGTTATTAGAGTACTATAAAACCAACCAAGTACTGAATGTTTAATATGAACTGAGATAAGGTTACAGACGCTACTTATAATAATTTGATGTTATATTTTATCATTATATGTGTTTTGGTAAGGTTTTGTTGTGATTGACGAAATGCTAAATTACACATCTTTCTACAGGTGTCTGATAAAATTGTTTGCTGTTCTAATAAATCGTTCATGATGTCCATAGAACCTGTCTAATTATATACATTCTATGACTTTCTAACTTAGTGGAAAGCAAATTAATTTACAAGGACAAATCCGGGGCCTGAAAGCGAAATGTCTAAGTGAATTTACCAAATATGCATAATATGTATGTTATCTATTATTCCACATCAATAGGCTCATTATAAGGACTCTAAGTGAATTAATAGAGCATATCATGTATCAGAAATTTTATATTGTTTCTGTGATGACATGGTTCAGGATGATCACATCAAAATGAGTATTGGAACTGAAGAAAAACTGACAACACCATTGCAGTGATGGACTATTCTAAGTATACTCATGAGATAGCACCATCTCATATGTTTCAGAAGAAATGTTGACTAGTAATCCACTGTCATGGGTACCTCTATATATTAAGTGTAACAAGACGACCCAAACCAGTTGAGTCAGATGCACCACCAGTTCGGCAGAAGAAGGCCTCTAGGAGATGCCAGCAGCGTGTGCCAGAGTTCATGTTTTTCATGTGACTTAGTATGGCAGAGTATTATGGATTGTCCATTTTTATTGTAAAGAAGAATCAGTAGATCCTGTTATTGTTGACGTCACAGAAATTTTGCGAGAATTGACAACAAGATATGATTACCCCTGCTCTACTTAATTTATATATATAGTGAAGCCAGGTTTTGAGCTTGACCACTAGTACTGGCATTCTGCTTGCACAAGAAATATGATGTCTAGGTTGGACAACTTTGGGTTTGGTATCACACAGTATACTCTTGTAATGATGCATGGATGAAATGCCGAGTTTCTACTGGACTCTAGTGAAGGCGGGACTTACCCACTCTCAAAGAGTGTTAGACACACTGAGTGAAACTGGAACTCTGATCATTCATTACTGACTTTGTCTAGCAAATGGTAATAAACTAGTGTGAGTGAAAATACATGTTTCCATCTTCAGAATGAAGGTAGTTGTTACTGACTTATGATCATGAACAAGTATCTTAGGTATGCATCTGTTCTAGAAACAATCAGAAAGCTTCATCTATAAAACAGGCAAACCTCTCTACTGTACAGCCTTCCATTGCAGATAGAGTGGAACCCAGAAACAATGGACTCCACATGCCAAAGAAAAAAAATCACAGTAGCTGTGAATCTAAAGCAGGTTTTGCATAGTATTATATGACATCTGTTTAACATGTTGCCATTATCTGTTGTAGTAAAAGAACCAACACATGAAATACGCACACACATTGTCTTCTATCCAATTATTGCTGCAAGTGCTGTCTTTATGCTACTAATATACTGTAATTATGGATAAATGACTATTCAACGCTTAATGGAATTGCTATTGAAATGGCGAATGAGGTATAAATGACTGAAGTTACCCATATATTTAGTGCTGTTTCTGCTGCACTACATTTCAGAGAAAATATGGAGATATTAAAGCATGGGATTACCATAATCAAGTATTAGTAATGAAACCCACACTCAGAAGAGCAACACAAGCTTTGTAGCTTGCTTGTAGAGTTTATTATAATCACATAAACACAGATGATGAATATCTCTAATGAGACAAAAGCACATGTGCAGGTTCATTGAACCACTAAGAATGATACCAGCACCATAATAGAGCATATGTTGAAGAAAGGAATAAAACATCCTTCACACAATGTAGTTGGTACAAGGAAAAAAAGAATGAGTTGCCAAGTTTTTGTGTGGAATTAATATATGTGAATATAATATATATGGTACAAGGAAAAAAGAATGTGTTGCCAAGTTTCTGTGTGGAGTTAACATGTGTAAGTACTTTTTGTTAGCCACAAATGAATAAACGTATGGACAGGCTGGAAAGTATCTGTTGGTTTAATTTATGACAACAACATATTGGCAAACTGAACTAGATGATGAGAACAAACTAACAACTTTTCACCAGTTGAGAAAACTTGTACGGATTTTGTGTCGTGCCACTCTCGAAAGACTGGTGGGATTTGCACTGAGAGGCTGCAATGGAAAAGATATGTTTATCTATGAAGGTGAAGTTTTTGTGTTTGGCTGAACATTTCATTCTACTACTGGGTACCTGAGACTGGTGTCTTATTGGAGCGAGGAAAATGTCAACTTATATGTACATTTATTGAATTTCTATGTTAACTGCAATGATTAAGAAGTATTCCAGTCTATAACTAAAAAAGAAGTTTTCAACTATCTGAAATGTTTATATTGTAGAATTTTTTCCAGCTTCTTCAAGATAACACCATTGCTTACTCTAAGTTTGATACACATTTCAGATGGACTAAGTTTGTAACCAATAATCTACATAACTGAAATGTACTGTAGCGGCAAATCAAACTACAGCTTAGCAGATTTGATGGCAGCAATACAAGAGCAGTAAAAGAAACAAGAAGAACGAGAAAAGAAACAAGAGAGACAACAGCAGTTGCAAGAAAACCTGCAACAGTGGCAGCTCGAGCGAGAAAATAAACAAGAGAGACAACAGCAGTTGCAAGAAAACCTGCAACAGTGGCAGCTCGAGCGAGAAAATAAACAAGAAAATAGATTACAGCACTGGTT